TGCGTTTTGTTGTTTGATGATAATGAAGAACTCAGAATGTAGAAATTGATTGAGGTGAATAGATTGGTTGAGATGTTAGAGATTTGCAGAAGTTGAAGAAATGGTTGAAGAAGGGAAGAGGAAAGTGAATACTCGGACGGTTTCCTGGCATTCAGCTGTTTTTTTTTTTTTAAAACCTTTAGTCAGCGGTGGGGCCCACAAATAAAATTGGTAGCAAGTAGAATTCTCGCTCATGGGGTCCAAGTTGGCATGCCAAGTTGTTAAAAAAGTCTGAGGTGGCGTTGATATGTGCATACTTGACGGAGGCCAACGGTGCACGTGCTACACGTGACGCTCCGACATTAAATTTTGCCTAATTTCCTCAAACTCGAAAATATGAAGAATAAAAATTCATGTATTGTAATATGAAAGGTAAAAACCCTCAAATTCGAAAAGTTAAGGGGCAAACAGGTACCTTTTACCTGGAAGAATATCTAACCATCAATTACGGGCATAAATTGAGTACGTTGTTGCATGGATCATGAGTGCAATGTTTTTTCTTTTTTCCTTTTTCTTTTGGTAGGGGACAATGTGTTAGTTGGCATGAGCCATTTGGCAATTAGCCTTGATGTGTAATGGATGAATTATAGAATTCTTTAAACTTTTATGATTATTCTTAGTGTCGGCCTACCCCATTCCAACCCTGTTTTAATTCATGTCCTTTTTAGTGAAATTAAAGCGTAAGATTCTTGCTCCTTGGGCAAGCGAACAAATTTCCAGAACCAAAGCTTGGAAAATTTTACAGAACGGCAATAACTGCCAAATGAGAAAATGTCAAAATGGGCAACTAACGAATCGAACATTCAAATTCTCTTAAATTCATTTAATTCCACTACTGGAAAACGCAGTATATTCGACAGAATTTTCTGTCGAATATAAAGGATTTTCTGTCAAATATGATTTAATCGACAGACATATTCGACAAAAAAAGTTGTCGAAGAAACTGCAGTCGATAACGAATATATTCGACAGCAATTTTTTCTGTCGATGAAACCCGTTTAATCGATAGAATTTTACTGTCGAATATATTGATTATCGACAGAATTTGGAAGCCAGATTTATAATTTTGTCAAGTTATATTCGACAGCCGGTAGCTATCAATTAAACTCGTTTCATCGACAGCACTACACTGTCGAATATACTTGCCAGTAAAATAAAAAATTTTTTAAAAAAATCTGGAATTAAAAATCTTATATTATTTTCAATTAATTTTCTATTAATTTTATATAAAAAATCAATAAAACAAACACAATTATCAAATTACCTAGCAATATATTTATCAAACAATTTTAACAATAA